GGTTGAGTGTAGGAAATGAGTTTCAAAGTGCTTAAAAGTGCCTGGCTGCTGTTTGGCTTTCAGTGCGCTGGCCCGGAGTGTCAGCGTTGCGCTACATTAGATTAAACAGCTTAAGAAGCCAGCCAGGAATACCAGAACATAGCAGAGCAGAGCAGCAGCAGCAGCAGCAGTAGCAGCAACCGAAATTCATGGCAACGTGGCGTATGAGCAATTTCGCCCTCTGACTTTGCTTTTCCCTTGACTGGGGATGCTGATGCGGTCTTCTTGTGCGATGTGGCAGAAAAATTAGTGACCCTGAATTAAATTGTCATTATTTTCAACTCACTCGAAAAGATGCGCAAAATACACACAGACACACACACACACACTCATATATGCACGAGTGTTTGTATTTTGAGGGCTTGCTGAAAAGCGGATTTAATATGAAAATTCCGCATTACGAGTTGTTTGTCGTTTCACTTTGTGTACTCCCCACATACGTAGGCACTGCCGAATCGCCTTCATATGTGTCTGTGCGCTGCGTGTGTGTGTGCGCGCTCGTATCTGTGTGAGTTTTGCGATTGAAATTCAATTACTTGTGTCTCTTTTTGCTGCCGCCCCAAAAAAAAAATGTGAACAAAAATAAACCATACCGAGAGGTCGGCAAAAACTTTTTTTTCCCACCTAAAAAATGTTTGCCATATTCAGGGCTCGACTGTGCGTGTGCGTGTGTGTGTGTGTGTATCTGTGAGCTTTATATCTGGTGAATGTCATCTCGCCACAGCTACAGCATAACTTTGAACAACTGTCAGCGGGGGGTCAGCGGCTGGCAACAGGGAGAGCAGCCAGAGCAGCCAGAGCACGCCATACATACTCGCACATGCCCTTTGAGGTTGGTTAACTGTCTCATGCGTGGTCCGACGTTTACAGTTTGCAGCTTTTAGCGTGCTTCTCTCTGTGTGTGTGTGCGACTGTAATCTAGGCAGAGGCAACCAAAAAATAAACAAAATAACAACAACAGAAAAAAAGAAACTATCAGCCAACAAGCCATGCTGTCTCTCTGCTACAGAACACACCGGGACACACCGAGAGACATTCACAAAACATGACACATGAAGTTATTGCCTCTCGTCTGGCAATCACATAAATCAAACTTTTGTCTTGCAGGTGGCAATAGGTGGTCCTGTCAAATTCTCAGTATGGGCACAGCTAGAGGCTGAGGCTGGACGATGATATTGTCAGCTGAGTTGAGTGCTTGGAGCTGCATGCGAGTCTATTACTGGGGATTTCATTTACAAATTCGTGTGCACATTTCAATAATTTGTACATTTTTGGCGTGCACAATTTTGACCTTCATTCAAATTCAATTACTCGTATTCATATTGGATAGAGTTAAATACGTTTAACCAATCAACGTGTAGAGTGCACTTGTAATTAAATATATCTTTAACTGAGTTATGGCAAAAATAAAAATTAAATAAATCTACGCTAATCAATCAGAGTAGATATATCGACTACTTTACACGATTAATACGATTAATTTATGCACAATAAGTATGAAAATTTAAATAAATGATATACATACTTTTAAGACATTAATTGTTGAATTTAAGCGGCTGAATTCAGACTTCATATTTCCATTTTTCCCTCCAACATTTATAGCTCATATAGCTCGACTATTTTTCTCACAGTGTCACAGCCGCCTACCACATTGGATTGTGATCGAAGCACATGCGTTTCAATCGTAGAAACGCCTTCGGTTGCAAGATGTTTTGCCCCGGAGTGAGCAGCAAATAAAATTAATGAGACGCAAATGCAAATGGAGGAAATAAATCCATAAAATTATATTTAAAACACGTGGCCTCATCCTCCTCCTTCTCCTCCAATATCCAATACACATGTGCGAAATCATTCTACGTTTTTTACGTCAATTGGAATGCCATACATTTCAATGGTTACGAAGCGCAAATATTCAATCAACTGTTTGTCTGGCTGGGTCTGCTAGATCCACCTTCACCTTTTTGCTTCCTGGCACCTTTTACTCCATTTGTTGTGGGCTTGTTTATGGCAACAGCCAGCTGATTGTTCAATGTGCCACAGAGCAACCAGCAGGCAGCAGACAACCGAACGATTTCAGCATTTTTTTCACGTTTATTATTTTAAATAATCGATTGTGTGTGGCCACATACACTTGTACATGCATACACAAGAATATTTTCAGAGAGAGAGAGAGAGAAACGGAGGGGCATGTGTTTTATGGCCGCAAGCTAAGGACACTCATTATGCGGTTCGGCCAGTAATAATAATGTGAATAAGAAACAAGAGCGCTTTGCAGGCTGTGGCAAGCCGATGTGGTGATACACTTTCAAACAGAAGTTACTCAACGATATAGCTATACTCGTAGCCTTATAGTTGCTGGAATCTTTCACAGAAATAGTTCCGTAGGTGTAGACCGGCTCAGGTTGAAGCTATTTTGCAGGGTACTCGTATTCGGATCTATGGCAATTTGTTTGTGGCCACTAAATTGGCCAACAACTCTCCCCATCGTTCCCATTGCGATGCTGTGTGTGTGTGAGGCGTCACAGCTGCGGTTCATAAATAAAAATAAATACATCGCTTGATTTATATGGCCCTAATGAGCTCAGCGCCCAGTTCAGTCGACTTTGAACCCAAAAAGCGCCCCATAAGGAAAACCACCAAAATAAATAAATAAAATCCGCCAGCACATCATGTAAATGCTGTGCAAATAAAAAGATACTTTCGGATGGGGTGGCAAGGCAAGGCAGGGCAGAGCAGGGCATAAAAGATGGCTATGCAGTTGCCGAGGAGTCGCAGTGTTCCCTAATTTTCAGCTGCTTAGCCGCCAGGCAGAGGCCGTTTATTTGATACGTGCGACACACACATACATACATACATACACCCACCCACACCCACACCCACACCCACACCCACACCCACATCTACACGTACTACTATGTAGTATGCTCTGAGGCAGAGTCCTGTCCTCTCTATTCTAACAATTTGGTTCAGCGTGCGCTCTACGTTTGATTTGCTTTCAGTGCGTGCCCATCATCATCAGCATTAGGCATGATTGTTGTTGTTATTAGACAAATATATAAAGAAAGAGATAGCTGTCAATGGATCAGCAAGCGGAAAAGAGCAAGAGGGACATAGCGATGGCGTCGAACAACTGTATCTGGCATAATGACGCTAATTTTGTAGGGTCCGGTACCAAACCCATCTACTACATCCCATGCCAGCATTCAGCGCGCAACGAAACAAAATAACTTATGAGGCGAATATTTCAAGTCTTCGCCCCGTGTACCCCGTCTTAATGTCCGGTGATTTGACAATGGCATTTATTAATTAAAACATGTGTCGCACGCACGAGCGCGCACAGACAGCGGGGCAGGTCAGGTCGCCTCAGACGTCCATTGATTTGTCGTGCCAACCGACTGGGAATAACACTCGGCAGGAAAGGAAAACAAAGCAAAACAAAAGGCTGCGTACCTATCAAACAGGTTAATGGGAGGGAGATTCTATAAGTTAAAGTCAAAAATGGACAAGGCATAAGAGCAATAAGATTTTCATTTGGAGACTGACCAAAGCGATCTCTAGAATATTTGATTAAAGGATCTTTGGACTGTCGCGCGGCAACCGTGCTGGTCGCCGCTTGCACTGCCATGGGTAGAGCACCGCATAGGACAGGACAGGATAGGACAGGACGCTCCTCAGGCAATGGGACAGAGCAGAGCAAATGAAGTCACGTACGTGCGATTTTTCTTCTGCTTTGGGGGCACATATTAAAATACGTGCGTCTCGCTTTTACTATAACTTTTACACACACGCAAACACAGGAACTGAGAGGAGGCATGGAAGGGCACACACACACACACACATGCCACCATTAATGGTGGCATGATGAGGCAGCTAAGTTAGCGTGTTTGTTGCTGCTGCTCACAAGCCCCACTCACAAAAGGGCTACAAATGACTTAGGCTTCTGGGCGCTGGTCCCTCGTTTCCCTTTTGTTTTTTGGTTTTATTTCTCTCTTTTTTCTGGTTTTACGAGTGTGTGGCCAGTGTGCGTGTATATATACATATATTTGTTTCAATTTCAATGACTGCAAGCAACATTTGCACTTAGTAAATAAAATATAACAAACGCCAGCCAAAACTTTTCTGGGGCCTCGCTTCGCTTAAAGTTTGCCACATTTTGCTAAATATTTTGCATGCGACTCCGTTGGACAGCAGCCAGCGTGCAGAGTGCAGAGTACAGAGGCAGAGCCGCTCATTTGCATTTCGGCTGTTGCGGCAGTGTCAGTGCTCGGCAAACATAAAAGTGGGAAATGGGCCAATGAACTTGCTGACAAAAGACGGGCATGGGGCATGGGGCCCATGGAGCGGGCACCACCACCAGGCGCAGTAGGACACTGAATATGCCATGCCTGCTCCATTTACTACAGCTCCAGTTCCATCTGTGTGCATGTCCAGCGAAGTACTGAAGTAAAGTGGACAGCAAAGGGGGTTGCAAGACACTGTCCAAAAGTTGATCACTATTTTGGGATCACATCGGGCGGCAGTCATTTCAATAAGGAAGACAGGACTGACCCAACATCGATGCCATTTTGGTTTTGTTTCTTTTGCTCTGAGTATCGATAAAGGAAATCCCCCAGAAGGGGCTTGCAACACTCTTCAGGCTGTGCGAGACAAGCCAAGCAAACAGAAACAATATCGCATCCTCTCGCCTCTTTGGCTGTAGGTCTGTGTGCCCTGTCCCCTGGACGGTCTGTACTGTGCCGCCCGTTGTTGACTTGATTTGTATGCGCCTTGGCTTAGTCCAATGGCCACTTTGTTTTGGTTTGGGTCCAGGCACTTGAAATTCCCCCATGCGGGCAGCTTTATTGAATTTCCTGTGATATGTAAAGCAAAAAAATATCTCAAGGCATGCCAGTGGCTAGGGACAAAGGCAGTAGTAACTACCGAGTATAAAAGTGGAAGCTGCTAGTAATATACAAAATAATATTATTTTCTTAAATAAAATATACGTTCATAGTTCGGAATATATTCCAAAAATGGTGATGCAGAGCAGGAGTACTCTGGTTAGACAATGCCTGGCTACATGATTTTTGTTACCGCAATCACACGAGTGCAGACAGAGCTCACAGGTCTCATCCCAGTCGGAGTGCTGCTGGTAGTAGGTTCCCGTAAGCTGTTGGCATCCGAGTGACGGGTTCCAAAAGCAGCACCAGTCCGTTATGTCAGCTGGAAAAATCACTCAACACAAATCACACGTCTAAAACCGATATCTAATCGAAATGCGTACCAGTTACTTCGTAATAATTGGGCACACATTGCGCCAGTGTGCCATTATTAGCGGTTTCATTGGGACTTGAGTACGGTTGAATTTTCGCTCGATCTGTTAAGCTATCACAGTACAGGCCAGTGCTATGAACAGTCGGACATTCGCCCATAATCTTGTGACAGCCCCCGCACTTGGAGATCTCCACTTTAGACCCAACGACAGCTTGAAGGTATTTCATTTAATTACATATATGTTTTTGCTGCAGTTATAACTTCCGCTGACTTACCACAGAACAAGTTCCAGATGCTCAATAGTGTTACTAGACCCAATTTGATAATCATCACTGATGAGAATACTTTTGATATTGAAAGGAATCTCTCTGGATCTATATTGACTGGAAATTTCTTTCTTCTTTATTTTTCAGAAATATACGCACTCGTATATATTAACGTTATTTATGTGCCCAGCAACCTTCTACCCAGCGAGTACGTGCGTGTTGTTCATGTGTGCTGGAGACGGTGTGAAGGTGAGATCTGAGATCTGAGACCTGGCAGCGGGAAGCTGGCTGGCTGGCTGGGTGGTGTTGGTGGTGAGAGTTAGACCCTCCAAAACTGATGAGGGTTAATTTGCCAACGGCTCAACAATTCATCAGAAAGTCCAATTAACTAAGCGCGACCCATTTCCCGTGCGCTGCCACGCGACTCCACTCGGTCGGGTGTTATAAATTTAAATTTAAAAGCCAAACAAAACTCGCATTCTCATTGTCGACTCCTGGTTGGAAGGCAGCGCTTTATCGCTGCTCGCCCAGCAGATTCTCTAGAAATTAAGAAAAACTGCCCGGTAAAAGACTGAAATGGAGAGTGATTCTCTTCTCCAGTTACTCGTGGAAGAAATCGAGTTACCGGGCTCAGTCCATCTTTGTTGTGGAGAGGACAATACTCGCACCTCTGATGACACCGTTTGCACTTTATCCTTGTCCGTTGTTATCGTTTATTGCTGCCTGCCTGCCTGCCGCGGCCCAAAGGACCAACCTGCTTTGAGAAATTGTGGCACAAAAGTCAACGTGTAACGAGAAAATAATAAATGCCATTAATACTGCAGGGCAGACAGGCAGACGGACGCAACCAGAGACGGAAACAGAAGCAGATGGGGCGAAAAGAGAGCAGAGAAAAGAAAGCGTGCCGGATGAAAACGAATGGAGTATGAAATTGAAAACCACAAAACAAAGTTGAAAAAAAAAAACAAAATACAAAATAAAATAAAATAAACTCTAAAAAAGTGTGGAATAATAAACGGCATGAAAATGTGTAAATGAAAATGGTCAAAGGTTTTACACACTCATTCGCGCAAGGGCAATGGAATTTTAAATAATTATTTGTGAACAGAAAAATCGATTTTTCTTTGATATATTTGAAATTATATTTTGATCAATTTACGCGTTGGTATCCCATGCCTACATACTTTCCTCATGCAGGAATGTGTATGCGGCCAGGTGGCGATTGTCACGCACTGGCAGCTGGCCTAAGGCGGCAAGACAAGGCAGTGGCAGTGGCACGGCTCTTCACTTTTATTGACAAAAGTCGACAAGAATTTGTGCGAAATGTGCGTGCGCGACTTGGCTTGGCTCGGCTCGGCTCGGCTCGGCTATCCTTTATCCTTTGAGGATTTTTTGGGAGCATACAAAAAGGGAGCAACGTATGTGTATGTGTGTGGTGGTAGGGTTGGGCGTGGCACACAGGACAGGACATTTTTTTGTGCCGTAGTTGTTGCTTGTGTCTTTTGTTTCCACCTCGTGCCACTTGACATTGCTTGCGGTTTGTTAGCGGTCCGGGCAAATTCCAGTGTGCAACAATCTCGAACAGAACATTTTGTTATTCAAAACACGACGGATTACCGTTCATTCCGCTTACACACACACACACACACACATACAGAGAGAGAGAGAGAGTGAAAGAGCGCGTATGAGGGAGTAGAGAGGATGTGGAGACCGCAGGCGGCACCTTTCCCGACTCATGTCGCTGGCGTTGTCACACGGCACACATTTGTTAGACACTAAGCCCGTGTATGCCTCCTCTGCCAAGGATAAGAATGTTTATTATCTTTATCACACACACACACACGCACACATTCAGGAACATAGAGTGAGAGAGTGGGAGACGGAGAGAGAGAGCCACACACAGATACAACTATATAAAAAGCCAAACCGCAAAGCAACCGCACGTACAAAACTTAAAGGGGCTGACGGCAAATGACAGACAACAAAACAACAAAATGAAGCCGCCGCATCCGCATCCGCATTCCACTTCCCTTTGCCGGCCATTGTCTTGCGTAACTAACTTCAAAATGGCGACACGCCGTGTCACGCAATTATGACCACGCCTACGTCTTTGACATTTTTCAGTGGCTCAGCTTCAGCTTCGGCTTCGGCTGCCTACCTACCGCTCACTCTTACCGCTCTCTCCTTGGCTTTTTCCTTTGCCAGTTTCCAGTTTTTATTTCGCTTTATTAAATGCTTCAGGTAGCTACTTAAACACGTTTTCGATTAGAGCAGCTGCTGTCATTACTCAAAGTCGAAGGGGGATCGGGGATCGGGGACCGGAGCCAGGCCGGCAGATTTCGGGACGAGTCGTGTCAGTCTTTCACCTGTAGGAGGATGGCGGCGCTTGCCTTTGCCTTTGCCTTTTCCTCCTGTTGGCTCTTGCCTGCTGCGCTGCGCTGTGCTTTCTTTTCTTTTATTTTGCTGTGTGTGTTCCTTTTTATACCCGTACTCAAAAAAGAGTTAAGGGGTATATTAGATTTGTGGTAAAAGTGGATGTGTGTAACGCAGAGAAGGAAACGTTTCCGACCCCATAAAGTATATATATTCTTGATCAGCATCAATAGCCGAGTCGATAGAGCCATGTCTGTCTGTCCGTCTGTCTGTCTGTCTGTCTGTCTGTCTGTCTGTCTGTCTGTCTGTCTGTCTGTCTGTCTCGATGAGCGCCTAGATCTCAGAGACTATAAGAGCTAGGGCAACCAAATTTGGTTTCCAGACTCATGTGATATCCCACTGTTACAAGTGTATTTCAAAATTTCGCCCCGCCCCCTTCCGCCTCCACAAAGGACGAAAATCTGTGGCAGGCACATTTTTAAAGATACGATAAAACTAAAAACGCAGTGTCGTAGAGAATGCCCATATCTACCAGACTGCCGAATCTGAATCAGATCGGATCATAATTATAGCCAGAATGAAGAAATTAATTTTCAGTTGCTTCCCCTTCCCCCTCCTGACGAATTCAAGCAAGTCATTTTCCTTCTCGCTCGCACACTCTGCCGCGTTCAGTGCGCGAGCAACCCCTAGCGGAGGAGATGTAGAATCTAATTGGAACATGTACAATCTACATGTTAGATGTATAATATACATTGTAGATGTAGATATCAGATGTAGCAAAAAAATGTTAAATGTAAAATTTTTTTTTTAATTCTAAAATTCTAAAAAATCATATGCTTAAAAATGTTTATGCTGACTGAGTACGGGTATAAGTAGAGTCGCGTCCCCAGAAGCGACTCGCACGTTCCTTCTCGTTTTGTTTTGTTTTGTTCTTGCTGTACATCTTCAATATTTTATAATAAAGCGAAATTCCAGGAAGAGGAATACAAAAATGTGCAGCAAAAGCAGGGGGGCTAAGATGCTAAGATGGGGCTTGGTGGTCACTGGAGTGTGCTGATAAGGTTTAGGATCAGCTTAAAAGAAAAGAAAATTTCTGTATTAAAAACTAAGAAGACGCGGAGAAGCAGAGTTCGGGTTCGGGTATTGGGGTATTATTTTCTTTTAATCAGTGGGCTTACTTTGGCAGTGTAGCTTTTTATTGATAGTCTCTCTCTGAATGAAAGCCCGCTTGCATATGTTCTATCTTCATGTGGAGGGAGTCGGTTAATGGCTGGCATACTCGCACATAAATTCATCTTGATTGCATACACTGAAAAGTTTATGGCCCCATTCTACCCACCCAATCAGCTCGAGGGCTGAGAATCTGTGCTGTTCAGGCATGAGATGGATGCTGCCACAACCTGTCATAATTTTATGTTTTAAGCCGCAGAATGGCCTGAATGCAGGGCCCCGGAAGTGAAGTGGGGTTGAACCTTTAAAAGTAAATCTCAAAGTACTTTAATGTTGTATCCTGTTATCACTGGCGACGTGCAGCTGTCGCTATTAGCGTTCGACTTCCAAGCAGGCGACAGAGGATGGGCTCCTGTCTTTTCTGCTCTGCTCTGTTCCGTTCCGTTCCGTTTCTTTCATTCGGTGTTGCGGCGTGTTGACAGGATATTTACAGGATTTCTATCAATATGCCGGCATTAGCACGTACGCCTGCAATGAACGTGAATGTGAGTAATGCCAGCCTGGGGAAGAAAAACGCTGAAAACGTATGGACTGGCACGAAAGGAAAACAATGTCAGCAGGGGAAAAGCGTACCCACCTCGGCTTGGCTGCTAATATAATCATGTTTCGGCAATGCTACTCATGCTATTAGTATTCAGAATAAACACCAAACACCAAATAGGCACTACAGATATTTAGCAAATGCTTCTGCACTCACCCAGTCACCCAGTCTCAATCCCGTCACAGTTTATTTATAAACTCATTAATTTTATACAAAAGCTGCCAAACAGATTCCATGCTAACAAAAAAAACGTTGAAAAAAATTACCAAATTTTAGCTTGATTTATTTTTGCTTTTCATCTCACTGTGCTGATTGCTTCTATTTCACACGATTTCTTCGGCAAATTGAAAGATCAACACAGTGCTCGGGAACAGAGAGCCCCTTTAACTCATTTCTGTTGAATTATTTACTTTTCATTTGTAGCTGGCAGCAGCAGCAGCCCCAGCCGGCAGGCAGGCGGGTAGCCTGTTTCCTGGCAGGTGGCTCTGCGGGTTAAAACGAGAGCCCCCCAGTCAATTGTTGTCGGTCAAACAAAAACTGGCACAACACGAACAACGAGCAGCGAACAACGACGAGAGCTCAAGTATTTGTGCTATTTAAAATTTGCTTTACCAAACGTCAAGTGGTTGGCAGCAGGAGCCCAAGTGGTCTGAGGGATACTCGGTCCAAGTCAGCCCCCAGCCAGCGCCTAGTCCAGTGGCTCCCTTGGCTGAAACGGCATCTGAGTGGGACTTGGCTGGAGCCTATTGGCCGTAAATTATTAATGATTACTAGCCCGAAATTACAGTTAACTCACTTATTTGCTCATTCGCAAATG